TACCTCAATGATCATTATATTAAGCAGAAAAACTTAAGATAGTAGCGTTTGAAATAGAGGTTAGGTGTATTGAATACGATAGTTGTGTCCTATATGTGAATAAAAAAATTGTAAAATTGACAGCATGTGTCTCAGCTTGTTGTTGTTAGACTGTCTTTTAACTGTTCGCATTTTTCCATGAGAATTTTGCGCGATTAGTTGTCAAATGTGGCAACTTTTCGTTATTTCATTTTTGGCCTGAAATTTGGCTGAGAAAAGGTTTTAAAATTTGTTTTTTACTTTTAATGGTCGCCGATCGTTATGTAGGAAAGGGTAGATAAGGCTCTAAAGAAGAAAATACGATGTTGATGACATGTATATTGTTGTATATGTAAAGATATTTATTCAAGGATATGACCATGGTTGACAAAAATTTTTTAATAAATAAGAAATGGTTCAACGTAAATCCAAATATAAACAGTTTTTGTAATGACATACTCAGCTGTGAAGGTAGCTGAATTTACAATCAGTTGTCGACGATAAGTTGACAACGCTTTGAAAGTTCTAGCTGTGTCAGAAGCTTAAGCTCAAAAATGAGAAAATTTGCTAAACACCAAAAAGTGTAGTTTCTTGAAACTGATTTAAAAATCTGTTGTGTGACATATTTTCTGGTTCAGAAAAAACAAGTGCTTAAAAATTGTAATTCAACTGTTTAAAAAAAAGTGTTTATTTTACACTCGTTGCTTTTATATTTCAAGTTGAATCAGAACGCCTGTATTCAGATTCTTATTAAAAATAAGACTAATTTCTTAGTTTGTCAAATCAATGCTGCTCTAACTGCAAAAGATTATGCAAACTGCATTCAGGTAAGTGTCTGAAACTTTCCACGATGCATCTGATTTATAGGAGCTGGTAAGGTGGACACACATTTTTCAGAGCTTTATACTTATTAACGCCAATTCTTTCTCTGAAAAAGGGTTAGAAAAAAGTTTGTTGCCATTTCTGGTCTGTTACCTTCCAGGTTTATCAATTAGCAAATCGACTATCGATGAAATTACCAGAGCTATAAAATCCAGTAACTATAAGTCGTTATCGTCATTCCCTGGTAGCTATTTATGACTCAACATTTTTTAATTTTCTTTTAAAACATGTCACTTGTAGCACGCTCAGTTTTTGTTAATACACCTGCTTTACAGCAAATACATTCATTCCAAAAATTTTTTCCGGTAATTTATCTGATTGGAAATACTAAGCGGTGTTTGTTTATATTTACTATAGTCCATAAACAAAATATCATTTTTTT